CTTGACCTTGTTGTAGAACTCAGTGGCAGTGGAGTCAAGCTTCTGACACTCTCCAAGCTGACGACGGAGTGCAGAGACACGAGCCTGGGACTGCACTGCAAAGGTGCGCTCAAGGATGGTCCAGGCCTCATGAGACGTCTTCGCGAAGACAACAAGGCCGGCAACTGCCGGCGAGAGCGACCCCTGGATGGAGGAGAGGTTCGCCTGGTCCTGCCCCGTCCAGACGCGATGGGCCGGATTGTAGACCGGACCGTGCACGCTGTCTACCAGCGCGGGTGGGCAGGGAAGCGATCCGTCGACGTAGCGTAGCAGGTAGTGACTCCCCAAGAGCGGGAGAACCTGCGCACGCCAGAAGATGTAGTTGTCGGCGGAGAGCTTGATGGTGATGAGATGACCGAAGTGAAACGGCGGCGGCGAAGACAATCCCATCGAGGAGGCTGCCTGGGGTGCAAACACCATGGAGGCAGCCGGAGGCACCGAAGCCGATGCGGGAGGAGGCGGGACCGCAGCCAGGGCGGGCGCCGCAAAGCTCGCGGCCGGTACGGACGCCGCAAGGCCCGCGGCCGGGGCGGACGCCGCCAACCCCGCCAGCGGGGCAGTGTGATCCGCTTGCGGCAGGAGCGGCGGGACGACGCCTGCGGAGTCCGCAGCGGACGGCGGCGCCGCGTGTGGACCACGAGGTCACGCCCAAGCGAGGGCGCCGGCGGCGTGGAGAAGACGGAGCCGATGCTCCTTGTCCCGATCGGAGACGGAACAGAGACGACATCGAGCGGGAGGTTGAGCAGAGCCGCAAGAGAGGCCGGGAGGAAGCCCGCAGCAGTGGAACCGGTGGTGGCGGCGCTCGACATGGCGGCGGCGCGATCGGTGGCGCGGCGGCGGCGGCTGCGGCGGCAGTGCGGGTATTAGGGTTTAGAAGCGGAAGCGATCGTAACCTAGCGTGATACCATGTAAGACAATAAGTTTTAGGGAACCAGCACAACCCTCTAGGGGTGGTGGCTTATCTCATTATATATAATGGGTGTGTTACAATATGTACCATATACGTACATAGGTACAGAAGTTATACATAGTCTAACATTCTGGTATAGGAACCATTGGTTTGGTAGGTCATTGTCAATTCTACGAAGATGAAGAGGATTGAACCCTATGTTGTTATGTATGCGCGCTTGCCATATTACCTGTACTCATGTGGTATGCTGGCTCATTCCTCCATGCTTTTTCCAAACCCAGGGATGCGTGATGAGAATGGAGACCTACCCTACATTGCAAAGAAACTGTGTACTCCGGAGGACCTATTCACGAGATCCAGCCGATCCAGCTCAGGCAATAATTCTTCATCCTCGTCTTTTGAACCAAAGAACCAGAGTGGTAATACCCCCTCGGGTGATGCCAAGTCAACTAATAACCATGGCAGGGCGACGGGGAACCGGAGTGGTAAAACCGTGAGGGTGATGGGGAACCTAAGAGATCATCCCCTCTCATGAACAACCCATTAGGCAGAGGTCATGGTCGCTCCTCTCGTGACCAGGGTTGTGGTGGGTTTTATGTTGCTGGAAAAGAGCTCCTCCAGTCTGAGAGGACGAAAAGCGGTATGGCTAGACATAAGAGGAAGCCCACTAAGAACCTAGTTTATGTGCATATATCAGATGAGCAACCTTCAAGTTTTGTCGGCATTTTGACCATTGTGGTTTCTAACATATCTAGCAAAGATGTTGGCCCATGCACTAAAGTGGAGGATAGTGTCTCGAACAAGAAATAGTGTACTATACCTTCTCGGTCGACAGATCAGGCGGAGGCTGCGGAGCAGGCCCACCAAACGTAATGAGTATTTCATGTTGGAACTGTCGAGGATTGGGTTTGGTCTCGACTGTTGGTGAGCTTCGCTGGCTTGTGAAGCTTCACCGACCCACCCTCCTCTTCCTGTCCGAGACTAAGATGAGGGATTCTCGTGTCTGTAATTTTACTGCTTATACTCTGCTTTACTATGAAATTCTACGATGCTGTCTGCGAGTTGGCTCGTATACTCTAGGGTGTAGCCAGTGGCCGCCGGAGCCCTTTGAGCCCTCCTGTGCGCCACCAGCCTAGGCACCCTCACCACCGGTGCCTCTTCTTCATCCGTGATTTATCCTAGATTAGGACCCATCGCAGCTAGGTGTGAAATGGCGGCTAAGGCAAGTGGGGAGGGGTTCTGGCCAGATTGGTTAGTGGTGGAGTGGTTTATATTGACACTCTAGGTGAAGGTAGTGGCTATTAGATAGGTGGATTTTATTGACACTCCAGCTGTAGGTCGGTTTTATTAACACTAAAAGAAAACTAGATTAAAAGTCCATTAGGTAAATAATGGGAATCATCGGACAGACTAAAACTAAAGTTAGGATATTTTCATCATATCACTGTAGCATAATATATAATTTAGTAAAGTAGTGTGAACCATACGATAGCAGTCTAACACCTAACCTCCATGTTTGCATTAGGCATTACAACTAAGATAAGAAGATCTACAAATACATCACTAACATTATCAGCTTACATGATCTGTTATATATATAAGAGCCTAATATATACTTAACCCCCAGACTCTCCACTTCATTCCTCTAGGATGGACTTGATCTTCTCCCTACCCATATTTTGCTCATAAAACATCTCCCAAAGCTTTGTCAGACATCTTTTTAGTATGACAGGACAAGGCCCATCAACCCAAACAACCACTCCACAATCAAAACCTCCTACCTACAAATAACACAATTTCATATAGTGAAAGTTAACTACTACACCTTTGTGAGTAGAGACTCTTGTGAGTACATTGAAATAGTGAAAATTGACAACTACACTCTGACAAAGCTGAGATAACTACACATTGACACTACAATAAGTCCACCACTAATTGAAATTTAGTTCATGTTAATCCAACCACACACTGGACATGAGCAATGCTAACTTGCTAAGTGAACTTGAACAATTAATATTTAGCTAAATTCAGTCACATTTGACAACATGGTGAACTATAACAAGTTTTTTTTGGAGGGGATGAACTATAACAAGTTAACTACACAGTGACCCATAACAAGTTAAATACATAATGGAAGTTAACAATTATAGTCTCACAAAGTTAAAATAACTACACATACACACTAAAAATAATCCAGTGCTCATTGAAATTAACTTCTTGTTAATCCAACCACATTGGCACACTGGACATGAGATGAAGATAATTAGACAACACACAGATAATTACACACTAAGAACTACATAATGAAACTACAATCTTTTTCTTAACAACTTCAGCAGCAGTTAACTAGACACTACATAGTAAACTACCACTATCGGAATGAAGGTTCCATATTTCTTTTCACATTTTGAACAACAAGATTGAGTTAAATTCAATGAAACTACCATCTTTTTCCTCAACAGCTAGATTCAGTTAAATTCAGTGAAAGTTCCATCTTTTTCTTCAACAACAAGATTTAATTAAATTGAGTGAAATTACCATCTTTTTCTTCAACAACAAGATTCAATCACCTTATAATATAACAAGTTAACTACAAGATGAGTATGCACTTAAATCAAACAACTACAAACTGAAAATACCATCAATACTATGAACAATAGGATTGAGAGCAACTTAATCTAACACTACACACTACTAGCCATTTACAGAGCAAAGTGCTAAGCTAGAACAATAAGCCGAGCATTGCTTACCTGCACAGCACAACCGTAAAACCTCCTCCTAGTGTCTATGCCATCAAATGCCACACATTTCTTCACACTGGCCTATTGAAGCTTGCATTTGATGGACGGATCAACCACTGTCCCACAGAAAGAAGCATCCACAATGGTCTCCGGGTTCTCATGCATTCACAACATCTAACCAATGGTTCCTTCCCCAGAGACTCGAATGCGATCTAAAATCAAAAATCCCCAAATCTAAACCCTAACCCTAACCCGTCGGAACAGTTAACCATAAATCAATGTCCATGACGGTGTACTGGAGGTCGTCACCACTGCTCTCCTCTCCGTTTTTCCATGAAGACATCGCGTGGCGGCGGCGAGCAGGAGCGGCGTCGGTGTTGACGTCGAGTGAGAGCGAGAGTGAGAGTGAGCAAGTGAGTGAGAGAGTGAGCAACTGAATGAGCTGTCGTCAACACCACCACTTTGGATCACTGACCATTAACGGTTGCCATTACACCTGTTGCCACATGGTTGATTTCCCATGTCAAAACTTGATTAGAATTTTTGTCAGTTCTTTTTGCCACTGCCACTGTCAATGATAGAGTTCGGTGTGTTTGCCATGTTTTGGAAAGTGGTGGGTTTTTGTGAGTTGTGACATGATTGTGGTGGTTTATGCATTTCACTCTACTTGGTATCACTAGACTAATACGACACTCTTCTCCTTCCCCCGTTCTCTCCTTCCTACCGATCCCAAATTCATGTGAATTACTACCGCTACCTCTATCAATTGGGATATCCTGGTGTGTCCTTAACATTATGCTGGAAGCAGACAACACATGTTCACTGGATGTAGGATTGGGATCAAAACACGAAGTACTTCCACACACGGTGGGGTCGGACAGAAAAAGGAAAAGTTATGAATCGTCTTAAGAGGCTTAATTAGGAGGGAAGATGGGAGTGTAGTTGAGGAGGAGGAGGCCATGACCATGAGAGAGGTGGCAACTAACAAATTTACAAGCCTTTCTCATTAAGATACTTGCACAACCATTTACTCGGCAAGCACTTATTTTTAATTTCAAGGACTATGCAACTACCTAGTCTTCTTTCATTGCATTTCCTTGCTCTTTGACGTGTTAGGATTTGTCGTCACCACCTGCTTTCTTCTCTCCATGGTTTGTCTTGTACTCCAAGCTATTCTAACACGGGTGATTAGTCAATTGATTTGGTTGGGGACGGTTTACCAAATCTACGGAATCTAATTGACCAGCCACACCAATCCCTGAAGGACACGGAAACATGGCAAGCAATAAGAAAACTTAACCAAACCTGCTATGACAGGGTCAGTTGCTTGTCAAAGTTATCCATTTCTCCATCGTGTATACAACTATACAATGACATCTTCTCCGATAGTACTACAATTTCGCCAGTCAAGCTATAGAAAATTTACTAACGCAGCCTCATCTCTCAACCAAAATCCAGAGGAACACTTCCCGAAGCAAGATCATGGAGGTCATGGCGGGGGCGGTGCTGAGCGCCCTCCTCCACAAGCTGGACGCCGTGCTGACGGACGAGTACAGGCTGCAGAGGAGCCTGAGGGGCGAGATCATGTTCCTCCGGGCCGAGCTGGAGAGCATGCAGCGGCCCTCGAAAGGGTATCGTCCTCGTCGACGGCGCAGCCGGTCGACAGGCAGGTCAGGATCTGGGCAGGGCAAGTCAGAGAGCTCTCCTACGATGTCGAGGACAGCATCGACAGGTTCATGGTGCGCGTCGACCTTCATCATCCGGGGTTCAGCGGGTTCATCCGCAGGTGCCTGAGCGTGCTGACCACGGCCAGGGTCCGCCACCGGATCGCCGCCGACATCAGGGGCATCAGGGGCCTCGTCAAGGAGGTCGCTGACCGCCGCGAAAGGTACAGGGTCGACGACGATGTTTCCGCCGTCCGGCGGCCTGCAGGTACCACCATCGACATCGACCCTCGCTTGCATGGCATGTACGAGGATTCGGCGAGGCTCGTCGCGGTGGGCGGGCCGAGGGCGGAGCTCTGCAGGTTGTTGGTGGAGCAAGAAGGTGCGGCTGCCATGGATGGTCAACTGAAGGTGGTCTCCATTGTTGGGGTTGGTGGCCTGGGCAAGACGACTCTGGCCAACGTCGTGTATCAGCAGATCAGAGGGCAGTTTGATTGCGATGCCTTTGTCACGGTGTCCCTCAAGCCTGATTTGAGGAGGGTTTTAGCCAGCCTACTCCGTCAGGTCAGTAAGCAGAGTTACAGCCAGGTTGAAGAATGGGATGTTGTGGAAATCATTGACAAAATCAGACAAGTTCTTCGGGTTAAGAGGTAACGCCAAAACTCATAGCTCTAGTTCATGTACAAAAATTCTAGTTTTGCTTTGTTTTGCAATTTGAATTTAAGAACTGAAGTACAAGGTTAATACTGCATCCTCCTCCCCTAGGCTTAGCTAGAGGGGTGGCCTGATTGAGGGTGCCTCTTTGCGCTCCCATTTTCCAATCCCTGGTAGTCCCAACGCACAATCTTTGTTTTTTAGCAACATACGTACTCCCTCCATAAACAAATATAAGAGTGTTTAGGTCACTACTTTAGTAATGTAAACGCTCTTATATTTGTTTACAGAGGGAGTACATGTTAAGTATTTTACCTACGTGCAAACTTTCATGAAGAAATAGCATTTGGGGTGGACAACTGATTTTGCTTTTAGCTTTTACCCAGAGGCCAGAGCACCGCGAATGTCATTTCTCCACAAGCTTTTGCTCTCGTAAAACATGACTGCGTGATGCAGCTATTCCATTTGAAGTCTTAACTTTTGATTTGAAACGTTAATTTAAAGATACTCATTTTTCTCCTTGATAACTGAAAAGTGTTGAGTTGAAAAACCATGCATTTTTATTTAGAAGTATAGAATGACTCCATTCTTGACATTTTCAAGTGAAGTTAGTAAATGAGGCAATTAAACAGGGAAGAGTGCTGGAAAACATGTTTCTTCTGCAATGGATGTTCGTGTGATCGAAAAATTAGTAGGTTCCATATAGATATTCCAATTACCCTTTACTTTCTAGTTGATAACTCAATTTCACTTGTTTTACTTTCTAACATGGTGCTACAAATTCATAGGTACTTAATTATAGTTGATGATATATGGGACGAATCAGCTTGGAACTGTATCAAGGCTGTACTAGTTAAGAACAACTGCAGTAGCAGAGTAATCACAACAACACGAATTGTTGGTGTTGCAGCATCATGCAGCTCTGCCATCGACGGTAACATTTATAAACTAAATCCTCTTAGTCATGATGATTCGAAGAAGTTGTTCTATGAAAGAATATTTGGGAGTGAAGATGCTTGCCATGTGGAACTGAGGGAAATATCTGAGAAAATCATAAGAAAGTGTGATGGTGTACCATTAGCTATCATCACTATTGCCAGCCTATTGTCTCACAAATCAAACAATATACATGAATGGGACACTGTGAACAAATCCATTGGTTCTGGACTTGAGAAATTCCCCAATATGGAGAGCATGCGTCAGATATTGTCTATTAGTTATTATGATTTGCCGTCCCATCTAAAACCCTGCTTTCTATACCTGAGTGTTTATCCGGAGGATTATACAATATTTAGTGATCACTTGGTACGAAGATGGATATCCGAAGGCCTTGTCCATGGAAGTGATGTGGATACCTTATATAAAGTGGGGTTCGGTTACTTCAATGATCTTATTAACCGAAGCCTAATTCAACCACAACATGTAGATTCTCGTGGCAACGTAGGGGCTTGTCGTGTACATGATATGGTCCTTGATTTGATCACATCCTTATCGATTGAAGAAAATTTTGTCACTACATTAGATAGCCATCAACCTAGTGATCTTTCAAAGAAGATACATCGATTATCCATCCAAAACAATCAAGAACATCACACCATGTCACTTTCTATGCTGAGCTTTTCCCACGTGAGATCATTTATCATCTTTCCTAGTGCTACAAAACTGATGCCGCCTCTTTCAAGATTTCAAGTTGTGCGAGTGTTGGATCTAGAAGGTTGCCGTGACTTGGAGAATCATCATATTGATGGTGTTGGGAATTTATTTCATTTGAGGTATCTAGGACTAAGGGATACAAATATTACCAAAATCCCGAAAGGAGTAGGGAATCTGTATTGTTTGCAAACATTGGATTTGAGTCAAAGTGGCATAATTGATCTGCCATCAACCATTGTTCATTTAAGGAAACTTGTGTGCCTATACATTGAAACATCGGTAAAGCTACCAGATGGGATTGGAGCCATGAAATCTCTACAGGTTCTATCTACCGTCAGTGTGAGTAACTCGCCAAACTTCTCAAAGGAACTAGGTTATCTTTCGGATATGAGGGTTCTTAAAATTTTCCTATCTGGAACATGGGACAAGAACTATGAGAAACATTTGTTATGTTCTTTGTGCAAGTTGACAAAAATCAAGGAAATAAGCATTCAATCTTCCGGAGTTCCCACAAAATTCATTGTGGATTTAGGATGGACCCCTCACAACCTTCAATATTTTTTCGGCAACATACCTAGATTGCCGGAATGGATGAACTCCTCACTCTCAGAACTGTCCACTTTAATCATCACACTAGACAAAATCCAGCAGGAAGACCTTGGTACTCTCGGCAACATCCCATTTTTGAATTATCTCTGTGTTACAGTGCACAAAATCAAAAAGGCAGAAGAAAGGTTGATTATCGGTACTGATCATGCAAACTTTAATTGCCTATCTGAGTTTCACATTCACAATGATTCATTGGGGATCATGTTTGTAGAAGGAGCTATGCCAAGGCTCCAAACCCTCGAGGTTACATTTCAGATTCGCGAGGCGAAGGATGAATACAATAATTTTGAGGTCGGCTTGGAGAACCTCCATTCTATTAAGCTGGTCACAATTCGAATGCATTGTTCTGGTTCCAGTCTCGTTGAGGTGGAGGAAGCTGATGCTGCTATGAGGAAGACATCCCATGTGAATCCCAAACATCCGAGGGTTGACGTGATTAGATATTATGAAGATGAAATGATAGAGGACGAGGAGAAATCTCAACTCGATGAGGAAGCATTCAAAGAACAAGAGGTATTAATTATTGTCTTCTTTAGTCGCACTAAAATAAAAAGTACACGATCCAAGTTAGTGTTCCATTTCTTTACTTATTCCTACAATGTTCCCTTTTCATCACCTGTAAAATGTTCCCTTTTCATCACCTTTTGGTGACTACCTAGCAAATCGACACATGTAATGTGATTTTTCACATGTAAACTCTATATCCATCAATACATTGTTGCATCTGATCCATTTTCCATCAACTGTTATTATTACCCCTATTATAATTTGTTCTTTTTAGGGTGAAAAGATTTATATATTGCTCAGGGTAGCGGCCTGCTCATTACAATACTGTTCATAGGGACTATCTGGACACAAGCCATTTATAATAAGTTTATTTATAGAGCTTATCCAACTTCGAGAAAACACAGACAAACACACACATGTATGTAAACACATAAACTTTTTTTGTGTAACAATCTGCTAATAGAACAGTGGCTGACTTAAGGAATATAACATTCTTATAACTTTTCTTGTGGGTAGATAAACTCAATGGTTGTCTTTTATCATAAACAAGATGATTATTGTGAAACTGAGGTTTAGATCACCCTTGATGATCACATGCCATTCGACCATACTTGACAATCACACGATTGAAAACAAGATGAACATGTTGCGCGATAACTGAAGACCATGATCAATTAATAAAAATACTACGTTTACATTGACAAGTTCGGGAGCTTTTTCTTCATTACGGTGTTTCCTTGTATAAAAACAAACAAATGAGCTACTCAACTCCTGGTTGTCTCTACGTATACTTCTTTATAAATCTCTCCCTGAGGAAGATTGTTTACCTTAATTAGCTATCTAGAAATCTTGCTTCACAAGATTACTTGACTTGTTAACGAGCTTACTTTACTTCTTGTCAAGCCTGCCTTATCTTGACAAGATTACTTGACCTCTAGGATGAGAGGAAGCATTCATGGCAAGCTGACTTGCTTCTACGTGGCAAGCTTGCTTAGCCTTCAAGCATATGCTTCAACGAGAAGCTAACTTGTCTTGCAATTTTGATTGCTTGTTGAGCCAAATGTCTGCTTGCATGAGCCATATGTCAATATCTTGGTAGTCTTCTCGCCAAAAAGTTAATATCTCGGTACTCGCCACCCAACCATAGTTGTTTCATAATAACAATAATAATAGTAATTATCGAGAGATCAGGTGTAATACTATATCAATGGATATATAGTTCATACTTCATAGTACTCTCCTAATTTGAGAAAAATAAGCAGCCATACCAACTTGGAGTAGAAGAGCAAGGCCAAGGATATGGTCAAATCCCCCCTTAATTCCCCGTTCGCACATCTACCCTATCACATTTTTTCAACTTTGATAGTGCAAATTTTGATTGGCACACTCCATGAGCAAGTGATATAGTTGTTGTCATTGTAAATGAAATAGTCCTGACTACGAAAAGTAATAAGATGTCAAAGGACACATTAAGTTAAGAAATCAAAGCTTATTATTTATGTTAATATTTGTCCCCAATGTAGTATACTTGATAAAAAAATACTGAACTACACCCTCTTTTATACTCCCTCCGCCCCAAAATAAGTGTCTCAACTTTGTACTAGCTCTAGTGTAAGTTTGTACTAAGCTCAAGACACTTATTTTGAGACAGAGGGAGTATTAGTTTACTGGAGAGGGAGTATTTATATGTATACTAAGCTTGTGACTGATCAATACCATGTCACCTGTTATACGTGAAAGGTTTATATTAATAATTATTACCCCTTCTCTTGAATGCAGATCATTCTTGAGAAGATTGGACCCTGGGGAGGAAATACCGGGAGAAAACGAGACATAAAAGTGTCACCACGTTATCTAAGAAGTATGAGAATTTGCTGTGGTGATGTTATAGATGCGTTTGCATTTTCTTACCTGGACAGAAATGAGAATCTGCATGAGACACCTCTTTGGGGCGGTATTGGTGGGACCATCCACACGGTGAGTAATGAACTTCTCATGCACTGTGCAAAACCTTGTTAAGACAAACCAGATTAAATATACTCTCCAAAAGGTGCGACACAGGAATATCATTTTTATACAAAAAATTCAATAATAAAATTGATACAGTGTTATTAACATAAAAAAAGTTATCGTAGATAAATTTAAAAATTCAGAAATACAAAGATTGCACGTATGGTTCACACATTAAGAATGGGAAGTGGTTCTTTATACACAAAACATGAACGGATAATTTAAACAGATTGAGCTGCCAAACATATAAAAAATAAACTGTGTGCCCAAATTCCAAATATCAACTGAGCTATTCTAAATATTTACATATGTGAGCAGTTTTCCATTAGCCAAAAGATTTCCCAATAAACATTTGAAGCTTGATATTACCACTGATTTTGCAGATTCTACTAGAACCCTCGGAGTTTGTGATTGAAATTTCAGGGACTTTTGGTCCATATGGTCAATTTCCCAGCATCATAAAGTCACTTATGCTTGTGACCAACTTACGTACCTATGGACCTTTTGGGCAGCTACATGGAACTCCTTTCCACTCTCGAGTGAAGAAAAACGGCAGTATTGTTGGCTTCTTTGGGTGCTCAGGGGAATTTCTAGATGCAATAGGTGTTTACATTCATCCTTAGTTTCTAAAGCTTAGCTACGACTTCTCAGTGTTCTTTTCTTCGCGAGGAAGAATCCTCAGTGTTCTATGAAAATTGTCAGTACTCAAACTCCGTGATGTGTTCCTATAACAAATAAGACCCGTTCCTGATTTTTGTAATGATGAAGTGAATGTTGCCAACAGGGGAAGAATATTTTGGCTTGAACCCTGTCCATTTAAAGTTTAATTGCATTGATGTGTTGTTGCTTTTATTTGACTTAATATTTATGTTCTTCCACACCTTCATTATGCATTGACATATATTTTTATTCTCTTTATTGGGAGTTTCCATACCCCAAATAGCCAGCCGATGCTGCAGGAAAAGGATCATTTAATGGATGACGCAGCTGAAGTTTGGCCTCAAAGAACCAGGTCGCTGGGAGTAGGCCACTTTGCCCAAAACAGAATAACATGTAACATGTGTCGCCCCCAGTTTGCTTAATCCAAACCAGGACACACGTGCGCGCGCGCGCGCACACACACACACATGTTCAGGCCAGCTAAAAAGATAGGTGGTCAAAACTTTCAGTGTGCTCGCAAAAGCGGCAAAAGCCTATTGCCTGGACCGTTTCTCTTTCGAAGTTACTCCTTGTAAGAGGGGCTTTATCCTGCTGAAACACCATTTCATACGCGTGTTGGTAAGTGGTAACTCCCCTGTAAGCCAGAGCTATACACATGAATTTGGCAGTGTCAGTTTCGTTAGTAGTGAGCCATCACTCAACCCAGTTGTCCCGATCAGCGAGAATGATAATTTCCAGCGTGTGCATAAGTTCACCCGCATTCACTAAGGTTCAGCAACTAAACTCTCTTGGTTTTCAGCTGCTTGGCACAAGGCAAGGGAACTGGAATTTTGAAGCTGATTTGCTCTAGTAATCATGCCAAAACCTCGCATTCCTACCGTTACCCCATCTTGTCGTAAACCATTCCAGAATTGAGACCCCCCCCCACACACACACAACACCAGAGCTGGCGGTACCGCCAGTTGAGGACAAGGGTGAGGCAATGGAGGCAGTCAAGGACTAGGGCGAAGGCAAGGCGGTCAAGCGGCACGGGGAAGCATGCGTCCAGTAACCGGTCAAGGGGAGGAGGAGGGGGGATGTTGATGGAGGGCATGAAGAAGGGGTGGCTCATATCAATCTCATCGGAGAAGACAGTGAGAAGGGGGGAGGTTATCATGGCAGGCGCGGAAGAGGCGGTGCCTGACAAGGCCCTGCCAAGGAGGGCTGCCAGGAAGGCAGAGGATCTCCCAGAGGAGGTCAGCAAGTTTATTTATTATTTTGCGATGGATTCATCTGTGTGTTAAAGGATGGATTCATCTGTGTTTTAAAGGTTCAATTTCGTGAGCTAACATGGAGGTAGCTTTTATCACTAAATTTGCGCTCTACCTGCTGTTAGGACCTATTCCCTCTGTCCGAAAATACTTGTCGAGTATTTTCGGACAGAGGGAGTATTTTTTGGACGGGAAATAGACTTTATCCATCTAGTCACAAGTCTATGGGATCAGTATCCCAAACGTTAGTCGAGCAGGCAGGCCTTGCTAAGCAGTCAAGGCCCTGGTTTGCATTGCGATTACAAAAACGGTCGGTGTAGATCATGGCATCCAGAACAAAATGGTTCGTGGCACCATTCAGTGCTTCCATGAGATATCAAGCAATCAGATTTCCACTACATCCTAGCTGCAGCCAAACTTTTTGTTGACACTATTAGCTGCTTCCAGGTAGAGCTAAAGAACATAGAATCAATCTAGGCAGCACCAGCCGCAGAATGCAGAATCCATTACATAGTCCAGGGGACACCTAAAAAGTGGCAAACGATATTAAACCAAAACGGACACAGGGGCACAGGGCAGCACAACACCACTTCCCCAGCTCCACCATCTTGGCTACGATCAAGTCAAGATCAACCTCCAGCAGCTTCCTCCCCCCAAAGAGCCGCTGGTGCTGCAAGAAAAAAGGAGCATTTTTCATGCATGGCACCTCATCTGGTTGCTGCACAAGTTTAACTCCAAAACTCAAGTAGTGTGGATACATAAGTTAGAAATCACACAAGTTAGTAATGTTGAATAAGTAGTGCACAACCGGTGGTCCAAATCGCACAAGTTCGTAATGCTGCATAAGTGATGCTGCAATGAACCTCCTGTGCTCAGTCATCTCATCACAATCGCACCCTATGTCTGTGATGCTTGATGTTGCTCATGACGTACTTCGCGTGGACATCATACCTCCAGGATGCTACCACGTCCGCCCTACCCTGTTGTGTTCCCAGACTCCCACACAAACTGCTCGAGGAGCTTCCGCATGCTGCTCGACTACTATGGCCTCTTCCTTATAACCCACAACGGCCTCGCACACGTCCTCAACCGGCAACACTACCAGCTCCTAGTTTGGGATCCTGTAAACAGTTGCTGGACCGACAACGAGTTCATTGCACCATGGTACAAAGTATGATCGGCTTCTTCTTACCAATATTACATTACACCATAGTTCTTGTAGGAACATCGCAACTAACTAATCTCTACTCCTAATGTCTCAGTTGGTAGTCTCCGTTCCGGATTTATTTTCGTCCCATCTACAATGGTTTATTTTGGTACCTGCTCCCACCTAACGCGGAGCCGCGTAAAACCAAAAAAAAACCCTCCTGCCGAGTCCCCCACCCGCCCTCACGCACTCCAGGGCCTAACCTCCCGTCGCACCCAAGAAAAACAAACGAAAAAAATCTACGAAAATAAACCAGCGAAAACAAACCGGCGAAAATTAACCAGCGAAAAAAAATCCTAGACCAATCGCCCGCACGTACGAGCGAGGTCTCCTTCCCTCGAGTGAGAAACATTCGCACGCACGACTCTCTGCCCTCGTTCGCCCGCTGCCGCCCTTCGTCCCTTCGCCGCCACCGCTCCATCCCTTCGCCGCCGGCCTGGCACATCAAAGGCGCGTAACTCGCACATCAAAGCCTCCGGCCTCCACTGATCCGGCGCTGGTCCAGTTGTGGACCCGCCGCCGAACACGTCCAGGCGTCCAGGATCCGGCGCCGATCCCTTTCAGGACCCGTCGCCGGACACGTCCAGGATCCTATTATCCCTTTCACGGCCCGCCGCCGAAGGCGTCCAGGATCCGGCGCCAGAGACTCTCACGTAATATAGGTATTATTTGAATTTTAGCGCCATCACATTTCATACAGCCATCACATGAACTGAAAAAAATATAGGTATTATTTGAATTTTACAGCCATCACATTTCATACAGCCATCGCATGAACTGAACAAATACCAGTTCCATACAGCCATATGCATCACACTGAATCAATGAAATATTTCGTTCGGAACTCGCCCAGAAAGACTTGAGAGACATAATGTACCATATTGTCACCCCGCAACGCCCTGGTTGACACATAACAGATTGTTATGATAGATCCATACAGCAAGGGTTCCAATGGGAAATTTAGTAAGTTCGAACACACCGTCAAATATATGAAACACAATCTTCCATTTTGGTGATCTTCCATTTTGCATCATCACTTGTTGAAAGTTTTTCGCAGAACCAATAAGATGCAATATGCATTTTGGATCAATGGTTTACATTATAGTAGTTGCGCTTAAAAGAACATAATTAATTCAAGACCATAATATCTAACAATGTATTTAATTCAAGGTAGATCCTATTAGCTATAGTGTCAACCAGAAAAGTTTTTCACAGAACCAAAAAGATGCACTATGCATTTTGGATCAATGGTTTAAAATATAGCAGTTGCGCTTAAAAGAACATAATTAATTCAAGACCATAAGATCTGACAATGTATTTGGTTCAAGGTAGATCCTATTAGTTATAGTGTCAGAACAAAAGGCAAATCAGTAACCTGTTCCAGAAAAGGTAGATGCAAATTATATGGCTTTCACAGAACTGAAGAAAAGGTTTAGTTACATTGAAGCGAGCAACGAACACACACCAGAATTATATGGCTTTCAATCAATCAGATTTGCACCATTTCTCAATCAGATTCGTACCTATCAATGATATGACAAAGAGCAGTTTCACCACCCTACAGAAGAGATGGTGAAGAAGCAAATGGTTAAACGATTATGATAAGGCAGTGTAAAGCAACTGAATAATAAACTGTGATAAAACTTCAAGTAATATACCATCGTGTGCATGCGCCATCTCTCTTGCTTTCATCTTGCATCTACTCTCTCCATTGGAGTCAGGTTTTCTTTATGCTTCTTCTGAATGATAAATTGTGATAAAAACTTCAAGTAAACTACCATCGTGTGCATGCGCCATCTCTCTTGCTTTCATCTTGCATCAACTCTCTCCATCGGAGTCAGGTTTTCTTTATGCTTCTTCCAGACCTCGAAAACACCACGGCCAAACACAAATAGGAAATTATTAATCACATGATCCCACCAATTTCTTAAAGATACTTCCAAAATTTAGTGATGATGCAATATTATTCATCATCAACTACCCCCCAAACCCGCTATTCCAAAAATTATTGAAAACAGGCAACAGTCATTTCATGTCAGTTCTCTGCCATTCCATATGTGCGTATGGGTAATTCAAAAAGCAAGGCCGGTGAACATCAACGAGAAGAGGACGTAACTACAGGTATGAAGCACTCTACCAGTGATACGTGCATTTCTGACAGTGACAAACTTTATGCATAATGTGTTCCAAGCCTTATGAGCGGGGAAAATGTTGAAGAATACAATGCAACCATCATACCCGTAGATGAAAAGGTTGACAATCACTAGTGCAGAACCGGGCAATAGCACCGGTTCCATAACCGGCACTAAAGTGTGGGCACTAAAGGCCCCCCCCCCCTTTAGTACCGGTTCAGCATGAACCGGTGCTAAAGGGAAACCACGTGGCACGAGCCAGCTCCAGGGGCCTGGAGCCCTTTAGTACCGGTTGGTAAGACCAACCGATACTATAAGGTTTGGGGTTTTTTTAGTTTTATGATTTCTTTTTCATTTAATTTTGTGTTTCCATT